TAGAAGCACAACATAAATATTTGACTAATTTATTAAATGAGCACCAATTTAATGGGCCATCACATTTCCACACATTTACTCTGTCAGCAATGCAATTAGGTGTCTCGAAAATGAGCCCATTATTTACTTGGTAACATGCTGACAGTAAGTCTACAGTACAGCAGCTTGTCTGTGCTCCAGCAGCCACCACCAGCTATTTTGTAAATCCATGGGCCATCATTTTGACTTTCTCGTTTCGTTTCTGGCCAGGTTCACTTGTTAGTTTTAGCTATATTCGGTCATGCAAGAGATCACCTCCAGATGGTTTGGGCAACGTGGATTTGACATGGAGGCTCCATACTGCCTCCTCGTGGCATGGTGGGAGGTTTGGCGTTCAACGAGGCCCGCTTGCCCATAAGTATGAGAATAGTACTCAAGGATTAGGCAACTGGGTATTTATATCATTATGTCTAGGTAAAAACCTCCAGTGTAGTGTAATGTTTGAGGAGCGCTGCATTGTCAGTAGTGCTGTCCTTCAGGACAGACGTTATCCGAGGGCCTGCCTTGCTGGTCAGGTGGACGTTAATGATCTTGTGGCACTATTCATAGAATCATCAAATTATAAAGCACAGAAGGAGGCCAGTCAGCCCATCGTGTCTGTGCCGACTCTTTGAAAAGAGCTATCCAAATCAATCCCACTCCCCCCACCCCGCTCTCCCCGCAGCTCTGCAAACTTGTCCTCCCCAAATAATTATCTGCTTCTCCCTTAAAAGTTGTTATCAAATCGGCTTCCACCACCTTTTCAGGTAATGCATTCCAGATCCAAACAACTCGCTGTGTGAAATAATTTCTCGTCAGCTCTCCTCTGTTTCTTCAAACAACTATTTTAAATCGGTGTCCTCGGGTTAGCAACCCGCCCGCCAGTGGAAATAGTTTCTCCTTGTTCAACCTATCGAATCCCCTCATAATTTTGAAAACTTCCATTAAGTCTCCTCTTAACCTTCTCTGCTCTAAGGAGAATAATCCTGGCTTCTCTCGCCTCTCCTAATAAGTGAAGTCACTCATTCCTGATACCATCCTGGTAAATCTCCTTTGCGTCCTCTCCAATGCCTTGACATCCTTCCGAAAGTGTGGGGCCCAGAACTAAACACACTCTCTAGCTGAGGCCTAACCAGCGTTGTATAAAGGTGCATCATAACTTCCTGACTTTTGTATTCTATGCCCTTATTTATAAAGCGTAGTACACCGTATGCCTTTTAAACAGCTTTATCTACTTGTCCTGCCATCTTCAAAGATTTATATAGATCAAAAAGAGCCATGGTTCCAATACCAACCCCTGGGGTCACCACTGCACACTTCCCTCTAGTTAGAAAAACAAGCATTCACTACCACTCTCTGCTTTCTGTCTCCCAGCCAGTTCTGTATCCATTCAGCCACTGTCCCTTTAATACCGTGGGATTTTATTTTGCTTACAAGTCTCTGATGTGGCACTTTATCAAATGCCTTTTGAAGATCGATACGAACTACATCAACTGTAGTACCTTCCTCTACCCTCTCCGTTACTTCATCAAAAAACCCTATCAGGTTTGTTAGACATGATTTGCTGTTAACAAACCCATGTTGGCTGTCCTTTATTAACCCACAGTTTTCTCAGTGAAAATTTATTTTGTCCCGGATTATAGTCTCTAGAAGTTTCCCCATTACTGACATTAGGCTGACTGGCCTATAGTTCCAGGTTTTCCCCCATTATCACTACTCTATTGGTTTTGCATCTTTCTGAAATCTGTTTGCAGATTTGCTCGTCTATCTCCTTCCCACTATTTGGTGGTCTATAGTTTACACCTAACAAAGTAACAGCTCCTTTTTGCTCCTTAACTCTTAACCAAATAGATTCTGTTTTTGGACCCTCTCGCGCATCGTCCCTTTCCAGAGCCGTAACCGTGTTTTTAAATCAATATGCCATCACTCCCCCTTTTTTTCTTTCCCTATCCCTCCTGAATACATTGTAGCCAGGAATATTCAGCTCCCATTCCTGCCCTTGTTTGAGCCAGGTCTCCATTATTGCCACCACGTCATAACGCTATGTGGCAACTTGAGCCTGCAGCTCACCAATCTTATTTGTCACACTCCGTGCATTTACGCACATGCACTCCAAGACCAACTTAGTCTGTTTCGCATTTCTCCGCCGTCTAATCCCTCCTTTTTTTCTGGATTACTCCTTATTACATTGCTATTCATCTCTCCCAGCCCTCTATATAACTTGTTTGTCCTCTCTAATGCTGCATCCTGACTCCCTTCCCCCATTGAAATTAGTTTAAACCCTTCCCACAGCAACCTCCCTGCAAGGACATTGGTCACAGCCCTGTTCAGTTGTAACCCATCCACCTGCCCCAGAACTGGACCCAATGGTCCAGGAACCTGAAGCCCTCCTTTCTGCACTATTTCTCCAGCCATGCAGTCATTTGTTTGATCCTGCTGTTTTGATGCTCACTTGCACGAGGCACTGGGAGTAATCCAGAGATCACAACAACAACAACAAGATTGTATTTATAAAGCGTCTTTCACATCGGGAGGACGTCCCAAGGCGCTGGACAGTTGGGTCGGGATCCGAGCAGGGGGGAAATGATCAGGGTGAGGGGAGGGAAGGGAGGGAGCGAGGAGGGGGTAGAGAGTCAAGAGGGGAGGTGAAGGCACGATTGAAGAGAAAGGTCTTGAGACCGGCCTTGAAGGAGGAAAGGGAGGAAGCAAGGCAAAGGCACTGGGGGAGGAGTTCCAGAGCCTAGGGCCTGAGAGGCTGAAAGCCCGACCACCAATGGTAGCGCGGTTGGGGCGGGGGATGTGGAGCAGACCGGAGCCAGAGGAATGGAGGGTACAGGCGGGTAAGTAGGGAGATAGTAGGTCGGAGAGGTAGGAGGGAGCGAGGCCGTGAATGGCCTTGTAGGTGAGGATGAGGATCTTGAATTCGATCCTCTGGGGGATGGGGAGCCAGTGGAGGCGAGCGAGGGTGGAAGTGGGAGTGATGTGATCGCGACCACCTTTGCGGTCCTACTCTTTAGCTTTTTCCCTAGCTTCTGATACTCTCTATATAGGATCTCAGCCTTTCTTTTCCCTACATCATGGATCCCAACATGGACCCCGACTTTTGGATGTTCCCATTCCCCTGCAGAACGTTTTGCACCCATTCCATGATGTCTTCAATCCTGGCACAAGGGAGACAACATATCATGTGAGGGTCACGTCTTTGGTTGCAGAAACACCTGCCTACTCCTTTCAGCACTGTGTCTGCAATGAAAATTGCATTGACACTCTTCCCTGTCGCCCCCTGTGCATTCATTTGCTTTTGACTCGCCTCCCCAGAGGTGTCATCACCCTGATCGGTATTCAGTACAGAGAACTGGTTTGTGAGTGCCACACTGTCAGGGGATTTCTGCACTGCCCGTCCCCTCTTCCTACCAGGCTGAGTGGTCACCCACTCACTCTCCTTCTTAACCCTCTGTGGCTGTGGGGTGCCCACCTCCTGAAACATTCAATCCATGAACTTTTCAGCCTCCTGTATGCTATGTATTGACACCACCTCTCCTCGAGCTCAGAAACTCTGAGCTCAAGCTCAAGCAGCTGGAGGCACTTCCTTCACACGTGTCTGTCCAGGGCACCCAAAGCATCCTGGAGTTCCCACATGGCACACATTGTGCATGCAAACTCAGCTGCCCTGCCATATTCCCAAACATGTTTTATATTATTTTAGTATAACTATTATATATTTTATAATTATGCACCTCTTTCCCCCTCTGCACCAAATTCCCACTCTCACCAAATTCCTTAATAGAATTCCATACAAGGTTGCCTCTACCCCGAGGAAGATTTCCCACTCTTCTGCTGAATGAAAGAGTTCTCTCTTGCTCTAACTTGCTGAAGAATTCCCACTCTTACCAAAGTCCTTAACAGAATTCTCAATCTGTTCCACCTCACTCAGTTCCCTCCTCACGCTGCTGGGCTGCTCAAATCATAAACACACACACACACGTATGCAGGCACATGCATGCACATATACGTGCACATACACTCACGCCCACACACACATGCACACACACACTCCACTGTTGCAGTGCCATCAGAGGCGTTTGCATTGTGGCTTCAAACAACTCACTCGCATGGGTTGGACTCAAAGCACATTTGACTTACCCCTGTCACAGTAACCCTGTTGTTGTAATCCTTAGTAATAAGTAAATAGTATGTATGTATATCTATGTAATATTATTTAAGGGAAATGTGGAGGCCTGTCCCTTTAATTAGATTCTGTTTGAGAAACTGCTTGCAGAAGCTGTTTGCAAAAGACTTAGCAAACAGCATACATGAGGTTCCCAAGTTGCAAAAATATCTAGGCTCAAGTTTGTTTAATTGACGGGCAGTTAATTGATGGGCCTGGAAACTCACGTGGGCTCTAGCTGGGAACACGCCCTCGTGTTTGCGTCATACAGTGGGCAGAGCACCACTCTCTGGCCTCTTACACGCTCGCTCCCTTCAACCACGCTCTCAGTCATCTTTCCCCTCCACCCCTCAGCTCTCACCCGCACTCAGGTCCCTGGAGGTAAGCAGGGTCTTCTTGGAGGTTAACTGACTCCAATGTGATATAATTGGTAACAGAAAGTCGGAATCAAGTTAACCCTCAGTGGTGGTTCCTAGCATCTTGGAACGTCCTCCCGACGAGAAAGACGCTATATAAATGTAATTTTGTTGTTGTTTTCTGTCATCCAGTTTGGGACCGCAGTTCTCCAGGGGCACTGCTGATGATAGACCAGTCCAACCTGGTCCATTGGTGGGTTTTATAGATGTTGATCAGTCACTGGGAACAAGGACTCTTCCCATTCAGTGTCTGTTAACCCTGCATTTCAGTCTCAATTTGGAAGTCAATTCTTCTTAAGGAAAGTGGAAACCAATGTTCCAAATTAAAACGAGATGTAAGAATTGTCCACGATTCGGCACAACTCTAAAGGCTGAATGCCAAGTGACTCTGGTCTTACCTGGTGGTCAGGCGTTTATCAGGTGAGCTTCACATCCATGCGAACTTGCCACTGTACAGCACCATTCACCCAGAGGAGACGTCATGGAGTGCTTGGAAGCTGTAAAGGAGTTTTACAGAAAGTTGAGCAAAGTCATGGTTCAAGAGATATTTTGCTAAGAAGGCTTTGAAAGCAGAGAGAGAGGAAACAAGTCAAATAGATTTTATAGGAGAGCAGAGGGCATGGACATGGCGACTTTTTAATTTGGTCAGGCTGTATCTAAGAGTATCCAAACCAGACAGAGGTACGCATAGGTACACCACTTACACTTTTACTCCCTCCGGTCACAATCACATGCTCTCTTGTCCTTCAAGCCCCTAACAGTGGAACAAATTTTTCATGATTAATTGCCAGACGATTGTCAGGTCTAGCTCAGTTGCTGGGACTCTCGCCTCTGAGTCAGAAGGTTATATAATAATAATAATCCTTGCATATGATACAGTGCCTCATCATATCGTTGAGACGTCTCAAAACATTTCACGGATTACACTGCAAATTGAATTGATTGTATATTTTGTGGGTGAAATGCGGCAGCCAATTCCGCACAGCAGTGGGGTTTGAGTTCTGCTACTCCATTAAAGTGTTGAAGGAGGGCTGCATTGTTCGAGGTGCCATCTTTTGGATGAGATGTTAAACCAAGCTCCCATCTCTCTCTTCAGGTGCACATTTAAGATGACCAAGGCACTATTCAAAAAGAGATGGGAGTTTCTCCTGGTATCCTGGCCAACAATCCCCCAGATAAAATGTGCCACTCACTTCATGACTCCTTCAAGTCCGCCTCAAAACTTTCCTCTTCGACCATCCATCAGTCACCCCCTTTCCCCTCCCCTCCTTTCTCCCCCCCTGACCCCAGCTCGGGTCTGAAATGCTGTACACTGTCCAGCGCCTTGGGACGTCCTCCCGACGTGAAAGGCGCTATACAAATGTAATCTCTTTGTTGTTTGTTGGAAATTATTGTGTGCAAATTAGCTATGCAATTCGCCTCCAAATGACAGTCACTACACTTTACAAAACCTGTGAAATGCTTTTGATGTGATAGGTGCGTACTGTGTGAAATGCAAAGATCGTTATTGATACAGGATGTTAGTATGTGGGAAAGAGAGGCAGACATTGATGGAGCCAAAGGAAAGTTGTTCCTTGTGGTCACCTCCTCCAGGTTCCTCTGTGCATTTACTCATCAATGAGTCAACAGTCAGCAGCTCACCGATCCTATCATTATCCCACATCTTTCACTTCAACAACACTGACTTACTGTCAACCAGTCGGGGGTGGAGCTCTGCTTTAATGACTTTCAGCCACCTCACATATGTGGGTTGCTTAAAAAGTCAACAGCAGCAGTTTGAAAAGGTCGCTTCATCACGATTTTATTTATTTATTTTTTAGAAAATCCAGGAATAACCCCCGGCATCAGGAGTTTGATTGCACCCAATGGATGTGGCTGTATTTCAGTGTGTCTGAACCCTTGCTGACACATTTAAACTACATGCAGTTGTTTATGTTGGGATGCTTTTACAAGTGGCTTCATTAACAATCCACCAACTTACTTGGCCATTCACTTCAGGGCTGTATTGTAAATTGGCTGCTATGTTTGCCTATGAATACACAGTCACTACACTTCCCAGTTAATCCTGTAAAGCGCTTTCAAACACTTCAACATAATACACATTTTACTATTTGTATATTTATTTAGCCCATTAACAGATATGGTGTGGTTGGGTCAGCACAGGACAGACAATTGATTATAATTCAAGCAAAACCTGGATTGCGAGAAAGTCTAAAATAAAAAGCTTGAAGTGAACATTACACCAGCAAGGGGGCATTTTCACTTTCATTCCCCCTCCTAATGCCACTCCACCACACTGAAATGATTTATTTATCGATTCAAAAACCTGAGAGTAACATCAAGACCAATGTTTACAAGCAGAGGGTTTGCATCTGGTGAATGTGGCATTTCGCCAGAATACTTCCCCCTCATTGCAGCATCAAGCTGCTTTTTAAATGAGTCCCAGTGCCCTGTCCTCAACCATCCTTCCTGGAAATGTGTTCCGGTCGTTAATTCCCTCTGAGTAAACAAAAACTGCATTTTGATATTCCAAACCTGTGTCCTCTTGTTCTATTGTCCTGGTGCATCCTAAAGGATTGATCTGGGTTTACTTTTTCAACCCTGTTGAGATAGATAGATGGGGTGCAGAAGATACAGTTGGATTGATCCCAGAGACGATGGGACAAGTGGAGAAATGGACAGACTAGGTCTACTTGTCTTGATTTGCAGTGATTCAGAAAAGGGTCTGTTTAAAATACTAACGAATAGAAAGGTTGGCAAAGCTTCGATAGAATGGTGTATCATAATAAGTGAATAACTCAACTATCTCGCAGTTTACAGTATCTCAGGCTAGAACACAACATGGCTGAATTTAGGTTGCTCCAAAGTAAAGTGAAGCTGTTCGCAAAAACAAAACGCAACTTAAAGCTTTCAGTCATGAAGAATGTGCTCAGCAACTTTCTAATGATAAATAATAACAATAATAATACTGATCCTTGCATTTGGCTCAGAGCCTTACAAGTCAGGAGGATGTCAGGAGGACCAGTCAATGAGCTTCACAGGATTTACTGTAAAGTGTGTTTTTTGTAGGTGAACACGGCAGTCAATTTGTCACTTCTTCAATCTGCCATGAAATGAATGATCAATTTTATCTGTGGAATTGTTTGCCCAGACACTGGTGGATTCTTGCTCAGGACACTGGGGCAATTTCCCTGATCTCATAATAGTTTTAAGCTCTTAACATAAAGAAAATCTCAGACAGACGTCCAATGACGCTGTAAACCGAGAATGGACGTTATGCAATTTTTCAATAAAGTTTAATTCACAAGTGTGTAGTCAATGCACTAAAGTCACATTGATGTCTTTTGGTTGACCAGGTTTTGAGCCAAACAAAATCCATTTCGAAGGGAAGATAAAGTCTTAAACCCTGAACCCTCTTACCCTGCTGCCTTTTGTATCTGACAGTGTGGTTCTGGGATTACTTTCTCTATTCCTATTTAGCAACTTAACCTATTCACAGTTATTTCCACAGTTGGTCACCTCCCTTCACTTCTTTTCTTTTTTCCCTTAAATATAAATAATAGTAATAATCCTCACATTCTGCATTTGCTATAGCGTTTTTCGCATTGGACGGCTGTCTTAAAGTGTTTCACAGGATTTGCTGTAAAGTGTAGTGACTGTGTATTTTGGAGGCTTTCCAATCCCTGCCCTGTTCAGAAGGAAAGCCCAGTGTTCTCGTAAAAGATAAAAGCCTCTGAGGAATGAAAGAATGTGTTTATGGAAGAGTGAGACATAGAAATCAGTGCACTTCGATTGATTAATGCCACATTATGGCAATATTAAATCAATGTGAATATCATGCGTTTTGCCTGGGGGACAGAAGGGAGAGAAATATTTCTAAAATAAGTCTTAAAAGAATTGACCCTGAGGAACAGACATTCTCCAGTCAAACGCTAAAACTGCCCGATTAATTCAGAAGCCTGTGCTGGATATAAAATATTTCTTTACAAGGGAAGAAGCTAATGAGTGAAGGAAACTGAAGTGAGGCTGTTTACAAATTGTCGGACGTAACCAGGGGTTTGTGTCACAGACACAATCAATGGCTGCGATTGATGAGGTGCAATCAACCCTGAACCTTGAATGGTGCAATTACAGCCCACACACCCTCAGAGACGTCATGCAGCAATACGGGTGTTTTGACAGCGCATATACCTTACGGCACTAATTGCACACCTTCCTCACCATGCTCCTCTTTCAAGTGCCTTTCATTCCTGCTATGGATATATTTCGCAGGTGCAAAGAGACTGACGTGAGGCCATGTAGTGCTGTTAAAAGTACAAAATACCACCTGCAAAATACACTTTACAGTAAAAACTCTGAAGCGCTTTGAGATAACATCCCGATGTGAAAGGTGCTATATCAAATGCAAGAATGGTTAATGTTATTATAGCTTGCATCATTTGTAACAGAGCAGAACATTATTGAATCATAGCTAATGGGGTCTAACTTGCAGTATTTCTTAACCATATTCCTTAATAGGGAATTTGAGTCATGAACGTTGGGTGATTCTTTCCCATAAACCAGAATTACTTAAAAATAACAATCCTTGTATTTGATATAAGCCCCTTAATATCTATAGTATCTTAAAGTGCTACACAGAGTTTCGGTAAAGTGTAATGACTGTGAACACTGCAACCAATTTGCACACAGCAATGTCCCACAATCAGCCACAATAAAACTGGTCGCTAGGTGTGAGACATTGCTGCTGTGTTCACCTTCAAAATGCACAGTCACTACACTTAACATTGTAATCAGTGAAGCTCTTTGAGACGTTGTCCTGACGTGAAAGCACTGTACAATAATCCTATATCTTGGCATATCAAATGCACGGATTACTATTATTATTATATGCTGAAAATCAAAGAAAGTTGAATTTCCCATCTCTCGCTTCTGAACATAAACAGGATCACATCATTCTGTTAAAACAGCAAAAGCAGGTTGCAATGTATTCCTCGGAAAGGTAAGAGTAATAACGGAAACCAGCCTAGTAAGAGCTAAGCTGTCTGATTATAGTTGCCTTATCGCAACTTCTGCTGTTTTATTGATAGCTCATTATTTCCAAACACCTGCAAACATAATTATCATCTGACGCCTTTCTCCATTGTGGCTCTCCTCCACAGAACACGCACGTCGATTCATCACCCTGAATTAAATTGGCTTTTACTTCTGTTCATCTCACCTAATGGCGAAACAAACTTCAACAGGGTATTCTTAAATCGACTCTTCCAGCACACGGCAACTAGGAGAATGTGATTCATGGAGTGCCGAATATGAAATAAAGCAAGTGCCAGGCACACACAATGACTTCTGGATAGAGTGATCAATCCCATTTTACAGGGTAATTAATTTGTAATAAAAATTCTTGTATTTGATATAATCCCCGACTCCAAAACAATAAATATAAGGGAGTTGGGAACAGATCTGATAGGGAGTTGAGAAGAAACCAGAGATGGTGGAG